TGGTATTTTCAAACAAAGTTTGGGTTTATTTTAATGGTTAATCTGAAGAAAAGTCATCAAAACTATTTCAAATCAATGTCTACTTTGTAATGGATGGTTTTTGTGCCCCACCATAATCAAAGACAGAACCGTGGGGCATAAACACGACAGAAGCACATTTTTACCTCTGAGGGAGGACCGCGATGTTGTGTCTTCCTGCAAAGTAACAAGCTGCATAGAGCAGCATGCAGCAGACAGCTGAGTCACCGCAGGCCACTGGCCCGTGAACAAAAGGGTGGACCACCACAACCCAAATGCTTCAGCTGAAAGCAGAACTCCCAAAGCCCGCAGATAAAAATGTCAGCACGTCCAGGTGATGAGGCCAATAAACAAACACCTTTCCAGAGGCCCAGAGAGCGTCAGGAACTAAACTAGCAGATTAGATGTGGCAGCTCTGGAGAACTTTCTGGAGATGGGGTTGGTTATCATCAGTGCACCTGAAGGTACGGGCAATGACCTGGGTGAACAGCAGCCTGGGATGCTATCTGCTTGGCCAGACTCAAGCAGAGGACCTGGGTTCAAACAGGAGCACATTTTAGGAAAGTCATCAAATCTGTGCTCTATTTTCTTTTTACATATGCCTGAAAAAGTCCAATGAAACAAATATGTTGTATTTAAACAAAAAAAAAAAAAAAAAGAATGAAGACAGGACAGTGTTGTAGACAAAAAAGGGCGCTGTGAGCTGTGGAGTAATAGGTGAATTCTGGATCACATGGAAAAGAACATGACAACTTGTTAATGGATCTTTTCTGAGTGAGAGAACAAGGCTGTCCAAACTGAAAATGGGCAGCCACTCACTAATGCTGAGTATAGCAGAGGTCGGCAGCCTAAGGCCCACAGCAACTCCACACTGCTTCCTGCTTTTACATATCTGGGTGTTAAGAACAGGGGTTTTGTTGTTGTTGTTGTTTTGTTTTGTTTTGGGTTATTTTTTAATGTTTTCAATTAGGTTTGTAAAAACAAAAACAGAAGATGAAAATGTGGCAGAAACTGTATGCGATACTAAAAACCTAAAATGTTTACTATCTTATTACACTGTCTGGCTACCCCTGGCTCATAGAAAACAGGGCATGCGGAGGAAAAGCAGGAACTGGTGTTGAACAGTGGAATGTGGGGGGCATCTAAGGGTCCTCTAGACATCCACAAGCAGACATGCAGTAGACAGGTAATCAGGCCTGGGGCTTGGTAAGCAGAGTAGGACCTTCCTGCATGGAAAGCTTCACGTAAGGAGCATTCAGAGCTTGCAGGAAGAAGTATGTAAACATGAAGCACAGTGGCCTTACCGAAGCATGAGAAGTACTGCACAGCAGAGTATAAGGAGCCCCAGTTTAATAATACAGAAATAGAGAAGTTACCTGCTCTAGTCACCCTGAAAGGAATGGGCAAACAACATTCAAAGCTAGGTTCTCAGCTCTACCTACTTGGTGTGGTTTCTCAAGCAAAGAACTTAATTCTTCCTCATCAGATAATACGCTATAGACTAAATAAATGGTCACTGCAGACTTTCAAGCAGTGTTGACTTCTAGATATGAAGTCCCTATATGGTTAAAAACTGACAGTTTTATCTGGACACTCAGGATACCGGTAAGGAGAACAGGTACTGGCCAGGTCAGAACTCACTATACTCTGGTCAAATGGCTCATGGAATGAGCCAGGAATGGAAGCAAGGATGCTTTCATGACTAACATACCATGATCAAGAGATAATAATCCAATGAAATACCCCAGAAATCTCTTACAAAACCAAAATAGAATGGAATAGTATGTGGTAAAATTAGATGAATTAAAACAATATCTTTTAAAGCCATGACTGTGGGAGCCCGTTCTCGGGTTCCTCGTGGCTTTACTCAGCAGGTCCGCATAGAGGATGATTAGGACCACGGGAATGAGTGCAGGTGTCTGAGATGGTCTGCACTTGGCTGTGCTGAGCGAGGAGGTCTTTTGCTCCACCCCTTGGCGTCTCTATAAAAACCCTGGGGCAGAGACAGTCGAGGCCCTTTGGAAAAGGTTCCAGGCCCTCTCGAGGCTATCCTTTATTTTCTATCTGTTTATCTCCGCAAGATTCTCCGAAATAAATCCTTCTATCTAATATTTCCTGCTGCTCGCACTCAAGAAAACTCTGGGAAGCTGTGGGGTTGGTGGGTAAACGCCCCACACATGACCTAACACATCAAAGACAAACCAAAATCTCAGAATGAAACACAGCATCTTGGGGAATTCTGGTACAGCAAAATTAGATGGAAAAGATTGATTTCTCTATAAATACGCTGAGTCAGTAGACAGCTGTGTGAAAATGAAGATTCCTAACATACTGCATACACCAAAACAAATTTTAAGAAACTGAAATTTCATAAATGTTATGAAATCACAAATAAAACTTAAGGCAAAAGAATTTGTTCTGAAATGAGAGGTTTCTTTTATCATAGAGAATTCACAGAGGGTAAACGCATAAAGGAAAATATTGATAAATTTAAATGAGCAAAGCTCTTTAACTGCTCTCTATAAAAAGAGATCGTAAGGTATAAAAGCAAATGATAACCTAGGGGGATATTTATAGAGCCCCGCAAAGCACTGAGGTCCACAGAGCTCTATGAAAGCAAAGAGATACAAATATCAGGTAGGGACATGAACCCTTTCAGTCTCTACCTTACACATGGTATCAGAGTGAGACATTTAAAGCTTTTTAAATAAATTAAGAAGGGAAGTAAGAGCATATAGTCTGAAAAGCGCTAAAGTAGGCAGACAGGCAGTGGACTGAGACAGCTAGCCCAAGCTCAGTTCTACTTAGCAGCCAGCCCTCCAGGACAGGAGTCCACAGCAAGTGTCAAAGGGGGACACAGATGACAGGCACAGCAGCCCGGGGAGAAAGAGCCAGCTCAGGCACGCCACATGTCACATGCAGCTGACCCTCCTTGTCTGGCTGCCTAGACTCACAGCACACCAAAGCTAAGAGACCCAGGAAATGTTAAGGCCTCGTCTCTTCATTTTTCAATATAACAAAGTTCTCAAAAATGTTAGGAAAATATAAATGAGTAAAAAACTGCAAATTTCTATAACTTTGCTGGGAGAGACTCCATGTTATTTGCCAGGCTATTCCCTTGTAGGGAGGCCATATTGCTGTTTTGACCAGACTGCTCATACTGGTCCCCTCTTTCTATGTACAAAGCAGTTGCCCAAGGTCTATATGAGTAGATGGCTTTCCGTGGCCTCCACCCACATTTCAGAGTCCAACTTAAGACCACTGTGCCCTTTCTGAGTCTCCACGAATGCCCTCCTAATGCTGTTACCACAACCCAGGGGACAATGTGGCTCTGGGGATTGATGGCTTTCATGAATGTGGGCTTTAGAGAGAAACAGACTACCACATGCAGGAACACGGCTCCTGCAAAAAGACTTGGGTAATGCAAGATCAGCAAGGCATTGTTTGAGAAGGTGAAAAACTCGTAAGTAGCTCCCTGACACTAATACTTTCCTTGTCCCTGTGTGATGGCCTATATCACTGAGTTTATCTCTTTGTTTGTTTGCAATGCTGGGGCCTGAACCTAGAGTCTCATCCACAGTAGACAAGCACTCTACCATCGAGTACACCCAACCCCATATATTTTTCATTTTGATTATGACTTTTTTTTTTTAAGCCACAGTCTTTTTTTTTTTTTTTTTAAGATTTATTTATTTATTATGTATACAATGTTCTGTCTGCATGTATGCCTGCAGGTCAGAAGAGGGCGCCAAATCTCATTACGGATGGTTGTGAGCCACCATGTGGTTGCTGGGAATTGAACTCAGGACCTCTGGAAGAGCAGTCAGTGCTCTTAACCTCTGAGCCATCTCTCCAGCCCATGACTTTTTTTTTAAAGAAAGTACTGTTCAACAGTCATGGCTGTGCCATTGGTTCAGCATCCTACAAGGCCCCGATTCTAATTCTAATGAATCGTATCGAAGCATTCAGCCTTTCCCACTAAGCCCCTGAAGTTCAGTCTGATTCTTGCCAAGGAACTAGCTAGAGCACCCAGCAGGACTCACTCCCAGGATATATACACCGTGGAAACAGACACATCTCCTAAGCTCCAGAATTTAAAAACACCATGGAACTTACTTTGATCTGTACAGTAAACCCTAATTTTTATATCTAATTATGCTGAAATAACAATTTATCAGGAAATTTTATTAGTCATGTTACATGAAGCCTCCACAAGTCCCTCCCACAACTGAAGTTTCCAATTCAATCAAAACTTTGTAAGATATTGTATGGTTTGGAGGCCTGTTGCTCAATCTCTTTCTCTCTTTGAAGCCCATAGCAGAAGGTTTATGGATGCTGTGTACCTACTACCCACCAGAAATTTGACCCTTGACCCACAGGCTTCTGAGCTCTCCACATCTGGGCACATACCTTCAAATGCATACCTGTTCTTGTATTATCTCATCTAGATGATAGCCTCTTGAAACAGGAACTGATTCTTACGGTTTTGTTGCCCCCGGAACCCACTTTCATGGCTCACACACTTAGCAACTCATATATTTATATTTTAGGCTAAGCCCTATTTTGAACTGAATAGTAGGAACCCTGAGGTAGCTTTGATGTAAATGCTTCAACTCAAACAATCAGGTCGGGCGCCACCACGGTCATCTTTCCAATCAGGCTCCAGGTGAGAAGAAAGGCTGACGAGGATAGAAACTTCCAGAACCAAGCATTAACAGTTTATTTTCTCCAGCAGCCTCCCTCTTCTGGCCTCAACAACGCATGCTCACATATCCCAAAAAAGTTTCTGCAGAACATATTGTAAGTGAAGCAGCAGTGGTCACAGGTTGGAGAGCCAAAGGATAAGACCTTGTGACCTTTCAGAATGTGCATCCTACAAAACATAGTACTTTCCAGATACAAGGGTATGGACAGCCTATGTTGGCCTTGGCATAACGGTTTCCAGACACGCATTCACAGGTCACTGGGGCTCAGGAACTCACCGTCAGATGTGTGAAGGAGCTTATGACTTTTCAGTGTCCCTTTGGATTTGAATTTCTTGCCACACATGTCACAGAGGTGGGTCTTCTCAGTGCTGTGGCGATTCATATGAGCCTTGAGGTTGCTCTTGCTACGAGTTGCATATTCACATAAAGAACATTTGAAGGGCTTCACACCTACCAAGGAGAAATGTATAAATGTACATTTACATGTGTTTGTGCACATATGTGTAGGGATCCAGATGAATAGTTCACACCATATAAAACATCCATTTGAATAAAGCAGTGTCCTTGCTTATCCCCAACATGTTCCATACTTCCCATGATTGGCTCATCTTACCTTGTTCCAACCTATAGAGACACTTCAGGGTCAGCCAAGGTCCCCTTCCTGTGCTTTCTGAACTTTCTAGTTGCCCATCAACATTCCATAATCCTGCAGCTCTCTCCTGCTGAAATGCTCTTACACATCACAGTGAGCTGATCACTTCTGCTCTCTCTACAGTCTGGTAACTCCCTAAAGACAGACACCCTGCTCAACTTACAAAGTGGTCATTAAATCCAACTGAACTGAGTTGAACTAAATAAAATTAGAGGCCCCATCAGTCTTTGCAAATATCAATGTGATCAGGCACTCAGGGTCAAGTGCTGGGAATATTCCTGTTCATAAAATAAACAGAGTCATATAACACTGGGTGTTGTTGTGTGTCAATGACTCACATTGAACTGTTCCCATGATATTGTGTCTGGCTTTTACCCACCAAGAGCCAGTATTAGAACAGCTCTTGTGCTTCATCTCAAACCATTTCTTGACCACTATGGAACTGTTATATCCTCTGAGCGACACAAGCCTGGTGTGTGACTAAAGTTCCACGTGCGTGGTCAATGTCGAGGACTGTGGACAGTACCCAGGACTTATTTATCTTTATTTTTTCCCTTCTTGTTAGTCTTCATGATTTTCTCTTGGATTTGCCTATTGTTTTTCTTATCCCGTGTCTTATTTTGGGACAGAGCTAGGAGAAAGAATACTTACAGTGCAATGCAATGATTAACTCCAAAGAATCCCAGCTACTGTAATGTGGGGAAGTAGGCTTTTAAAAAGAAATCTTTATAATTCCATCATTATAAAAAAATTCATACACAAGTGAAAAAAGAAATCACCACGACAATCCAACATAAAACAGCAGTCTTTAATTTTCTGAACCTTTATCAAAATTCTGAAGTTTTTAAAAAGAGTGGATTTCTCCCAAATGCTCAATATAGAATATTAACACTCTATCCCCTGTGAATGTAATAGTGTTGGCTGCACATTAAGCCTAGACACACACTGAGCCTTCTTCTGAAGAATTTAGGAAATGATCTCTCTGATTCCACAGCAAAACTCAAGGTACTTTATACTTGTGTTTCACAGGCAAGTGAACTACAGGTCAGGAAGATGGAAGGTTTGCTTCATCCTGCATCTCATATGCAGTAAGGAAGACTACAGTGTGTCCTCCCATTCCAGCCCTACGGCTGCCATACAAGCATTACCACCCAGGAGAACAGACTTATGTTCCCAGGCTCCTATCTCCCTGCATTTCCGTCGGTGTCAGGTCCCTGGTTCTGTGTCTAGCCACTCCCAGATGATTCCCATGAGCACCGTTCTGAACCAGTCTCCATGCAGACAGACAGAGGCTTCTGCCTCCTTCTCTGTGAAGACTGCTATCGATGAACTCCTTCAATGCCCTCAGAAAATGACATGTGTGTGCACCTCACCACCACTGCCAACTCCTCCATTGCTGCCTCCACACAGGAAGCATCACTTTCTCCCAAGGCCAGTCAGTGGAGACATGAAGAACAGAGCTTTAGAATCATTCCAGATGGATCCACATCCCAGTTCCATTCCTTGCTAGCTATGCAGGATGAATATTTTACTTTGTGAGCCTCGGGTGTCCTCACTGGTAACACAATACTTGGCTCTCCGGTCCCTGAACACACTGATCAGGGTATCCTGGGCAAAGCACTAAGCACACTGCCTGGGGCCCACAGTGCCCAGTAAGTGCTGGTGAACAAGGAAGCGCCCTGCAGCCTCAGCACTGGGCCTCAGTCCCATGCCTTCTCTCTTCACTGAGGTGGGAGTCGCCCTCTTCCCAGCAGCTCCTCCCCTGGGGCCTGCACTTGACAGTATATCATGGGAAATACTTGAGGCTCCTGACCAGCAGGAGGGAACTAATACACAAGACTAGCAGGGCATTCCTGCTACCTGCACCTTCCTAATGCTGAGGAGGGCAACATCCTCCTCTAGGGGCAAAGAATGAGGCTGATGGCAGGAGACTCCTGACTTCCAACCTGCCAGACTCTCAGCAAATGGCTCTCCAACACTTCCACACCTGGTCAAGCACCCCTGAGCACAGCCCCCATGCCTCTCCGAACTACCTCATTTCCACTCAAACCTTCCACCTTCCAGTCCTCTCTACAGTATAAACAATGATGCTCCACACTGTCAAAATTGCAAGGTTCCCGCTGCCCTCTTTTCTTCTAGTCATTCATAGTTCCATTATTCTTCAAGGCTGGTTACATACAGTATATAATAGTGGGCACTGGAACTGCCCAGAGTAACTCATGGGCTTGCCTGTTCTCAGGATAATGGTTTCCCTATAAGCAAAGTATGATCTATTTCACTACAGTTATAGCCACAGCTAGGAAGAGGGAAACACAAATGCAACTAAAGTCATGGTTTCCATCTCTGATCTCCACTGGCTGGCAGACACCACTCTATGTGCTAAAGAAATCCTAACAACAGGACAAGTGAAGATAAACTTCCTCCTTATGTAGTCCCCAAATAAAGCACACAGCACAAAATTAAATAGATGCTCCAGATGGAAAGACAACTCACCCTCATGAGCCCAGATGTGCCGCTGAAGGTCTGAGCCATTCTTCATGAAATAGAAATCACAATATGGACACTTCATGGCTCGCTTTCCAATTAGCCCTTTGAGCTGGACCCTTCTCCCAAGAACTTCAGAAATGGTGTTCATGGAGACCTCTGACCAAAAAAAAAAAAAAAAAACAGAGTGGCAATTAGAGAGGACAAGGCACTGTGTTCTTCAGATTAGAGGTAAATAAACTTCAATGGCACCTGCATACATATAAATATCCAGGAAGTGCCTCGTTGGTATCACGAAAGAGCCTTTTTACTGAAAAAGCTGAACCTGAATCTGATCAAGGTGTAGATCTAAGTACCTGTTAATGTACAATGTGAATAATGGAGAAACACTACAAAGCAATGAGCTTACAAGGGCAGAGCATGGGCTTTCTACAGGAAAAGTAACTCGGCTTCTCCCATAAATGACTGGTGCAGAAACCAGACAGGAGACTAGGGGCTCTACAGAATACAAGGAATGTAAGTGACACAATCACTAAAATACTGCAGCTCGATTCAACCTGTACAAAAAAAATCGTAGCTCAACTGGTGAAATTTTAAGTGGCCATACACAATACCCGAGGACGCAGTAAGAGTCATTGTTTGTTTTGTTTTTTGTTTTTTTGAGACAGGGTTTCTCTTCGTAGCTTTGTGCCTTTCTTGGATCTTGCTCTGTAGACCAGGCTGGCCTCAAACTCACAAAGATCCACCTGCCTCTGCCTCCCGAGTGCTGGGATTAAAGGTGTGCGCCACCACCACCCCGGCAAGAGTCATTGTTAGCACTGTTTTTTACAGGCCACACAGAGGTCATCTAAGCAAAACCATCATCCATTAGAGATAATCCGTAAAGTCTTTCACAGGAAAACTGAATGGGATAAACTTTGGAATATTCTAGAGAGAAAAAGTCATGTGAAGTGTAGAAGCATATGGAAGTTGAGGTGTGGACACACGGGGTCCCTTGTATACTTTTGTATTTATGAACAAAGGTCAGTGCTTTGACATGCGGTCTGCAGCTCACACTGGACCACCAGTCACCTAGGACAAAGGTTAACACCGGAAGAATGGAACGACATAACCCATGGGTTCCCACACTGACGAAGGTTCCCAGGTCTGTGTGTCCCCAGCTAAAACCTTTACTTTGAACAGAGAAGTCAGCTCTCATCTTCCAAGGGTGGTACAAATGTTTAAACAAGAGGAGGCAGGGATGAAGAAGAAGGTGGATTTTGCTGATACTCATCTGTGTAACCCAGACTGCTCTGTCTGCTCTACTTAATATGACAATGGGGTCTGACGTTAAGGTAAGGTCCACCTCCAAGATCCCATGGTAGTAAAAATGACAGTGTCTGGAGTACAAGTGGTCAGCATGCCACCGTACAGGGTGAAGCAAGGCAGATACAAGGCTTTCCCAAGGGAAGAGCATTTTAAATACTGAATTCATTCACATCCTCCCTCTTTATTCCTAGCTGGTACAGCTTACATACACTATTATGTTTCAAAATAAACAGAAGTATTTAAAAATTAATCATCAATTCTAAAATTCATAACCTTACCGGGATGATTGGTCTTGATATGTGACTTTATCAATCGGTCTTCTGAAAAAGATTTTTCACATACAGGACAAGAATAACTCCTTTTGTCCTTAATAGAAAAAAAAAAAGCAATTAACTGTCTGAAGTGTAGGTTCTGTAGAAAGATAACCACTACCCTTACCATCATCATCATCAAACACCATTATCACCATCACCATCACTACAAACACACACCATTACCACTGCCATTAAACACCATCACCACCACTACCATCATCACCCCCCATCAACACTGCTACCTCCACTATCAACATTGTCACCATCCCCATCATCGTCACCATCACAACCATCATCAATACTATTACCACCACAACATACAGCAGCAAGACCCTCATCCAAACTGGACCTACAGTGCATCCTCCGAAGCACTTAACAGACAGCCCTCCCTCTACACAGCCTTGGGAAGACCCAGGTGTGAGACCTCTAGGAAGGCAGAAAGGGCAGCCAAGAGGCTCTACCATATATTCCGGGGCTACTCAATAACCCAACAGCATAGGATGTCCTCAGCACTCAAAACACTGCTTGCACTAAGCTCTCACATGTGATTGAGATCCACAAGCATTTGCAAATAAAAGTCATTCATGTTTACATTATAGATTAAGAAAAGAAAGGCTGGGGAGCAGGGAGATGAACACAAGATCAAGGCAGTCAACATTCTGGCAAAGGGTACATGCATGTGTGTTGGTGGGGGGGAACGGAGATGAACTCATGAGCCCCCACCTCACTTGAGGAGCCATTTAAAGTCAATTGCTTCTAAAGGGGTGGGAGGGGAGTGCGGGGGGGCGGGGGGAGAGGGGGGAGAACTCTTTAAGGATGTAGGCTCTGGTAGGCTGACCATGCTCTAGTGTAAGAACTCACACACTTGAGTATACAAACAGGACAAATTGGTTGTTATTTAAAAAGAAAGAGGATATGAAGTTAGGAGGAGGGGTAAATCTGGAAGGGCTTAGGGAGAAGAGTCTGGAGTTAACATGATCAAAATACATAAAAAAAAAGCTTTCTACAATCACATACACACACACACACACACACACACACACACACACACACACACACACACACACACACACACACAGACCTTGCCATGAGCTTTCTGGCCAACCAATGCCATTGACTTCCTCCAGACAACATGGGCTTGGGGTTTCTCCACATGCTCCCATTAGTCCTTCCACTGTCCTTGACACTTGGCTCACAGTGCCATGTTAGAGTCTCAAGGACCCTCTGGCATCCTGGTGGCACCCTCCCACCTTGTCCCAGCCGCCCTTGTCATCACAGCTGATGGAGGCATTCAGAAGAGCTTTGAGGGAGTTTACACTGATCTCCCCTGAGACCTTGCTGTTTGATTTTTCTTCTTTTAATCCCTGATAGTCTGAAAGCAATTTATCTTAGAGCTTATCAGGGGCCCTGTTTCTTGATGTCTTTGAAGATTGTCAGGACACAGACAGTGGGAGAGGGGGCTGGGAGAAGGGTAGACTCTTAGGATTCATTTACTTCTTTTTCAAAAACTCAGTGTCTTGCTACAGATGAAACCTAAACACCAAACACACTCAGCAAACTTAAAAAGGACTGTGGCTAAAAGAGCCCCTGGCAAAGGCAGGGAACACAAGAAAGCTAGCCATAGGGTGGCTAAGAGCCCAGCCTTTGGAGTCTGTTTGCTCCAACAGAGATGCCTTCAAAGCCATCTGTGCCCAGAAAGAAGTGAGTGTCAGCAGGAGACTAGCAGGAGATGCAGAAAGAACCCTTGCCTGAGGCTAGGGCCTAGTTTATCACTCAGGTAACCTCATCTGGCCTGTGCCTCACTGGCAGGTATACTGGCCTCCAAAGAAGTGGAGAGTTCTGAGGCCCACACTCGTTGGAGAACATCAAGTTGAATGCCCTCCACTAACTATAAATATGACACGTGAATCCCCCTATAAAATACTGACATCAAGCTCCAAAAGAAAGTTGGCACTCACTCGGAACAGTTTCTGAACAATTTCTCAGGATTAGGTCACAGTCACAATATCTGTCATGTGCCAGAAGCTGTTCTGGGGACAAAGGCAGCAGATTTTTGAGCTCTTACAAGTTATCTAAAGATGTGCCACCCAGAAAGCCCACCCATCAATGTGGGGGTTTCAGAAGCTACAGCAAGCACTAGGAAGGTGACACTTGTGTTATGACAGATTGGAATACAACACTGGATGTGCTGGATTTAGGGCTGCAGAGAGAAGGCTTTCCTTCTGCTACAGACAGTTCTATTTCCCCAGGCCACGAGGAACCTGTTCTCCACACAGGAAGCTCTGGGAGCCTAAAGGCTGCTGCACAGAGGGTAAAACACCCAAACTGGATAATCCAGAATCAAACGTGTTTTGTGATTATATGTGACCACATTCTTATGGTAAGAATTCCCTTGGTAAGGAAAAAATGCTTTTCAGTCACCTACACTACGTTTTCCTCTGGTCACATGAACACACACTGATCAGGCAGACCCATTTATTTCTAAAAAGATATGCAAAATAGATTCCTTTACTTTCTCAGTGCTTTTAGGCAACTTATTATTTTAGTTTATCCAAAAAGTACATATTATTCAGCAAGCATCAAACAAAAGAAATTTGTGTGCTTCTCAAAGATCAAGGCCAAGTATTCTAAACACTTACCAAGAGGCCAGCAGACACTGGATGAATACACCACCCCTGTCACTGTTACTGACCTTAAACTCCAGCTAAAGGCACAAGGAGGAGGAGGGGATTGAGGTGAAGAGTAGCAACAGCATCTATCATGGTGGCCCTACACGCATAAGACCATGCTTAGTCCTTAGCAGTATCACCACAGTATGTTCCCAGGGCAGTCCTGGAGGTGGATACCACTGACCTCATTTCCAGGTCACGGGCCTGAAGAGCTTGAAGGGCAAACTATGCCCCTTCACAATCTTGAAACTAACTCTTTCTGGCTTGGACTGCAGACTCTGTGTGGGCACCTTTGAGGTCTCCTGAGAGGACACAAACAGAAGCAGGGAGCCCTTCTTTGAGGAACAGATTCCCAGCGCCCATTTCCCCTTAAGATGACAGGAGGCGGCCATGGGTCTCATTCCTAACAAATTCTACTGTGACACTGGGGTTCAGGGAGGTCACCAATTAAATCACTTAGGTAACAGTTTACACACTTATTTAATAGGAACCCAGGAATCCAGCCACCTAACCGCATCCCCCAGCAATACTAATATACACTGGCATTTGAACACTTTAATGCTGAAAGGAAACCTCAGAAAGCAATACCTGCCCTGCGTGTGGGTGAACTCTACTGACAGGCTCTGATTTGGTCTACTTAATCTCACTATTAAAAGAGCCAGGCATGACTCACTCAAATGTTTGCACAATCCTCTAATGGATCATGATCTATGGATGCTGCCATTCACTGACCTAATTTAATCCCCATAACCTTAAGGGATGAGGGAAGTGCTTTATCTCCAATTTATAAGCAAGATAACTGAGGCTCAAAGAGCCTAAGCAATTTGCCCAAAATCACAAAGACCGATGGATGTGGGACCAGAAATGAGCACACCAGAACCCAAAGCTTCCTTGCATTTGACTAAAATCATGTTTTCCCAAGTCTCCTCTTCATGAAGTTTTAATAACTTTAAAGTTGCTTTTGTTAGTGTTCTATCCCAGCAACAGGAAGGGAACCAAGGCATACACCACTTTACATAAAGATTTTGAACATCCTCAGAATGCCCTAAGAAGGAAGTTCTGGGGCTGATTCCCATGAGGGATGATTGCATTCCTTCACCACATATTGATGCCATGGGCTTAGTAATGAAAAGGAAGAGGCAGTGGGAAGAAACTACACTAGCCATCACTCTTTTATGTATTCTTAGATGTGAAATAGTGTCAGGGTCACAAAAACTGACAATTTGCCAGATTTTCTCTAAATCCTAATATAACCAGACTATGTCAGGATATGTAGCCTCATATGGAGGTATAGGATGGTATTTTAACTTTGGTTGTGCATGGGAATCTGTGTTCAAAGCAGGAATGGTAAAAACAAAAGTGAAACCTCAGCCAGCATTATAACATACCCAAGGCCCTCTTCAAGTGCACGGGTAAGGAAAGCAAGCCCAGAAGAGACCAGGGCTCACGCTGGTTCTCATGGTTTCCTATTGAGAACGGTATCACCCCCTGTCCCAGCCAGATGCTGATGTGACCTAGGTCCTCAGCTGGACCACAGCAACATGACAAGATGCTTTTACATCATAAGTAAGTTTGTGCAATCTCCCTGAATCTCAGCAGCAGCTAGAGAAAGGCTGCCCACCATACTCTCTGAAAGACATGCAGTCAGAATGAGGTAGAGCGCTGGACTCTGTCCTCGGTGCCACATCCCCAGTGCTATCTCTTCCTTGGCCATGATGATGGGAGTATGTTACACTAATGAAGGCAAGTGGCTGGTGAGGATAACACACTAAACACAGATGGGAGGTTTGGCAATGGAGAATATAGGCAGCTTCTCCTTAGATGCTTTACAGTTTTACAAACTTTTTGAAGGAAAGATTAACATTTAAACTCCAAAAGTTAACATGCATGAGTTACTGAACTGATTTCACCAAGAATTAGCTCAAATCCTATGAATGTAAGACAGTATAGCTGGAAGCTATATCCTGAGGTGATTACCACTAAAAATGTACTTCAAATGCTCATCGATTCAAGGAGAGTGAGCAAAATCCATACAAAGGAGTATTGCCCAACTCTAAAAAGGAGCCAAGCATGAAGCCTGCTATCACATAGATGAAAAAAAAAGATACTAGTCATCAAAAATATTTATAGCACACACATGTTATGTTCTTTTTATATAAAATGTTCAGGAGAGGCAAAACTCTGGACATACAGTGTCCAGGGACAAGGAAGTGAGTGATGACCACAAACAGGAATGTCTTCCTATGGGATAACAGAAATGCTCTAAAGTTGCCAACAGCTGCATAACTCTGTGTATGCACTAAATTCCACTGAACCTCACATCTTAAAAGAACAAATTATACCATATGCACATCACAAATCAATAGAGAGCTTAAAAAAAAACAACCTTCCTTGCAGATGTGGAATATTTTAGAGCTAACACCTTCATTATCAGGTCAACAGCATCTACATGAAGGGAACAGGACTTGTCCCTGTGTGGTCTCCTCAGCTGCATGACAGAAATAAGTTACAGCAAGGTCAAATGACAAATGTCACCCAGATTCAAAAGCTAGGAGTTTTCACAGAAGTGCTCTTCACTGCAATGGCATACAGTCCTTCACTTCAGGAACAAGTGTCCAGTGGATCAACTGCCCGGCATGAAATCAAAGCCAAGATTCGGCTGACCATTCCCTCCCTCCTCACCCTCTTTCTTAACCCAAATATCCTCAACCTCAGAATCATACTCCACATCCCCTCAGAGTATATGGGGAGGCAGTTTGAGGACCTGCTAGCCTTCTCCTCCCATTGTTATCTTTTCATCCCACACAAAGCACAGTGCACCTTGCAGACAAGAACAGCCTTACTTGTATCTAAAGTGTCTGGCATAAAAGCTTCCCGCTTTAGATACAGCAACAAATTAGGTACCTTTAAGAGTATCTCAACTGAGCTGGGCAAGGTAGCTTCAACCTGTAATCTAGGAGGCTAAGGCAAGAGGAGTAGTATGAGTCTGAGGCTAACCTGGCCTATAGACTGAGACCCAGTTTATATATATATATATATATATATATATATATATATATATATATATATATCTTAGTGGGAAGGTGGAAAGATGTATAAATACCAACAAGGGCAAAGGTAGAAATGAAACACTAAAAACTTCTAAGAAAATGTGAGTATTGATGAGAAGCAGGACAGAATCTCTTGTGAGGTTAACTGAGCCATACTCCTTGCATCAGATTACTGTACTTCTCTAGCAACAATGTGCAGACATTAACTTGTGCAGCTTTAGGAATGGCTGCCACTTAGCAACACAGGAATATCTACCACATAGTCTCTGCCTACCTGGGCCAAAGTCCATCTCTGCCACATTCCTTCAGAAGATGTACAAGTATCCAAGAGACTCACCAAGAAAAGCATGTCGAAGACTAAAGACCTGCTACCACCAAATAAATAGCATGGGACAGTGATAATGCCATGGAATGAATTCTGTCTTCCCTCATTCGTGGCATAACCACAGACTAAGTTATTGCATGATAGAGACAGGGACACCAGACTCTGTGTGGTAAAGGAAATGATTCCTAACTCCTAGGGGTGACATGGGAATTAAGTTAAAAACCCAAGAAGTGGCTATAAGATCAAACCAGCAGCTTTCTGCCCCAAGGTTGACCTCCCTAGAACTTCTACATGTTACTAAAGGTGAGATGAGCGCTCTGAAGGAAGTCACAACCATACTCATCACCCCAAAAGTAGAAGGGTGAATGCCAGTGATGTGTGCACATTCCCTGGGGAGAAGCAGTCAGATGCTTACCCACTCCTTATAGGGCTCCAATAGCAAACCAAAGTGTGCTCCCATCAAAGGCTAACCTGGGGAATCAATGAGTTTATTGAGCTTATTTATAGAACACAGATCAGAAGTTACTTACTGGAGTCTGGGTAACTCCAAAGAGACACACACACACACACACACACACACAAAGTCTCGCCCCAGAACTAATGACAACTACTAAGCAGATGGAGTTCCAAGCATTTCAGTGAACACTCCCACAATCTACACACTCTAGCATCCCAGAGATCCCAAAGCCACACACAATTAGGGTAGAATTATACACAGCTGGCTGTGGGGTACAAGAAAGAGTGATTGGGATCAGGTGAGCGTCCAGTGACCCTCTCCATTCCCCTTTCTATGACAGACCATCAACAGTCAACGACACTGGTCCTGGTGGTCCACTGCTGTTCTCAGGAAAGTCTTGATGGTTTTGCTCAGAGGGTGGCATCTACAATAACCGTTTATATATAAGAACCGAGGTACACAAAGTCAATACCAAAGCCATCAGAGGCATATTCCTGATTCTCCCAATGATCCCAGCACTCAGGATGTGGTCAAGAGACTGAGAATCAGCATCTGAGGAAGAAAATAACCAGGCTAGACCAGCAGGCCCAGGACATTCACAAGCAACAGACAAATTCTGAACATGGAACAAGAGGCAGTCTAGGCTGCACAGTCAATGTTTCCGCGAACAGTGGCTTAGTTCCTATCACCCATTTCAACTGGGTTTGAAAACTCAGTCCAGAGCAGCTAGCTTCAAAACAGTAAGATCAGTGGCATTAATAGTAGTTCATACCAGGCAGGCACTACTGTCGACACTCACATGTACTCCTTCACCTCCTCTTCACCTGCATGAGTAAACTGAGCCATGCAGTAGTTCCATTACTCATGCCAAACATGGTCAACAGGGCAAGGGTTCAGTCCAGACTTCTGCTTTCCTAGGCTCCAGCACTACACTCCAAGGCTACTCCTAACAAGAGCCTATTCAAACACTGGACTCATTCCCTCAGCCTCAGTGCCAACTGGACAGTAAGGACAGAAAAGTTTACCAATCATATGCCTCCGTGCCCCACTGGAGAAAGAGAGGGAGTGAGGGGAAGGGAGGGAGGGAGAAAGGGAGAGGGAAGGAGGAAGGGAGAGCGGGAGGAAGGGAGAGGGAGGAAGGGAGGGAGCGAGAAAATGGGGAAGGAGGAGAAGGGAAGAGCAAGATCAAGAACAAAAGCAAGCCTGCAACATGAGTAAGAGAGAGAGGAGAGAACAAGAAAGAAAATATGACAGGAAGCCAGTACAGCCGGCACTTATGCTCAACTACTTACCAGGCTCAGTTTCGGGGCCATTATATTTTAACATTGCATTAACAACAGAATAGAAACACACAAAATATACACAGATGTGTGTGTGTGTGTGTGTGTGTGTGTGTGTGTGTGTGTGTGTGTGTGTGTGTGTGTGTGCAGGTATGTCTATGTACATATGTATGCATACATGCTTATACATATCACTGTACATGAGTGTGAATATATGTGTATATACATAATGGACTTTGTGGTAGTTTGAATAAGAATGGCCCCTATAGGCTCATAGATTTGACTGCTGGGACACCAGTGAGTGGCACTATTTGAAAGCATTAGGAGGTGTGGCCTTGTTGGAGGAAGTGTGTCACTGGGGGCAGGCTGTGAGGTTTTAGAAGCCCATGCCAAGATCAGAATCCTTCTCTGCCTACAGATCAGAATGTAGTTCTCAGCTGCTGCTCCAGTGTCAGCCTATATGCCCTCATGCTCCCTGCATGATGATAATGAACTAAGCCTGTGAAACTGTAAGCCAGCCCTCGGTTAAATGCTTTCTCTTCTAAGAGTTGCATTGGTCCTGGTTTCCTTCACAGCAATGGAACAGTGACCAAGACAGACTTTTAAGAGTATATTTTATATAAAAGCTGTCAGGTTTCAGAAATGACAAGTAAATTTTCTGAGGCCCCAGAGCCTGTGGGAGTGTGGGAGCTGGTGCTGGAGTCTACACCAACATGCTCTGATCTCATACCTCCCAACTGCACCTTCGTGATTCTTAGACCAGAAAAGTAGAGCAACACATCCAATTTCTGAAGTCTCCTTTTATGTTCAATCTCTTTTTGTGCTGTCTTTAGCACAAACAGAGCCCCATGGGCCCCAGGTGTGGCTTCTTTTTTATGTTAGGAAGTCTTAAATCATTCTCAGGAGTGTCAGCCTCTTCCCATCAGACTAGATCTTGCAAAAACAAACATTTGCTCATTGAATCACTGTGTGATCAACCACCACAGAACCAGACATGCCCATCGTGCACGTTAATGGCACCTTGGATTAACATGTCACTTCTTAAATCCAAATGCTTCCTAGATGCCGTTGATGTTTACAACAAATGCCCCGCTAATGTGACAACAGTGGTCATTAACATTCACCACACTCGCACTGCCTACTGAACACTGTTCCTGGTATAATTACCTAATCCAATCCAATCATCCAAATTAATCCCCCAACAACACTTACAGGCAGCTATTATTATTCCCGTTATTAATAATTCCTTAAAATGCCATTTATGAAACCTCCGCTTCATTTCTGCTCTGCAGATCTTTCTTCTGTAAACTTTCTCAAATGCTAAAAAATTTGCAGAGAATGCAATCTGTTCAGTCTAGTCAGAGACTCACTGTGAAAGGGGCTGAGGGTGGAAGCTCTGTGAGGCATCAAGAGGCAGGAGAAGGGCCCCTCTGCACTTGGAGGGGGCAGGGTGTTCACACACCTGCAGCAGGGATACCTCTCTCTCTCTGCATAAATGGGAAAGAGCACTGGGCACCCGCACCCGGGGAGGAGGTGGGGGCTGCCGTTTGGGCTTGCTACTTACCAGCTCTGTGTGAACTTTAAGATGGGCCTGTAGCTTATATTTATCTGGAGTCGAGTAGTCACAGCCGTCAGTGGGGCACTTCAGCAAGATGTTGCTGTGTTTCTGAATGACATGGCGTTTAAGGCAGTTTTTGGTGATGGAGGAATAGTGACACTGAGAGCAATAATACAGGTGTTCCCGGGTGTGGGTGCGGACATGCATGTCAAAATGCACTTGGTACCAAAAAAGTTTGCCTAAAAAAATATTGTCACATGAGAACAAGGAAGTTTCTTTTAGACTGAATTTGATTTTTTTTTAATTATCATCATTTTTTTAACTGCCATATTTATCTCCTTTATCTGGTACGCCCTTCACACTTTCCACCACACTTCTGTCGGGAAATTACTTTCCAAAAATGGCAGTTTTCAAGTATTAAGATACCACTACCTTGCACATGGTGTTAGGGCTAGGAAAAGAGAAAGGAGATGTTTATTGCAAGCCAATTATGTCACACATCACCCTGCCAATGCACCAATCCAAGAGCCTCCGAGTCCTCCTGACACTCTGGGCTATGAGACAGGCTCTAGACTACCTACTTCCTGGACTGCCTGCTGTCTGGGAGCTCCCAGAGCCAAGCTTTCAAGACCAGCTAGAAGGGAGCTGCTTGGGCCTCCGTCCACAGAGCTGCAGTCAGTCTCCTACCCTCTCTAGCCAACTGGAGCCCCCACTGAAAACCAGAAGAATGATTCTTCTTGGTCAGGAGATGGGTGAGGTTGTGAGCAACCCTCAACATGACCCCCAACATGGTCAGCTATGCTGGGGAGGCTCCAAGTGTGACTTAGGACAAGGGCTCACTGCTCCTGTCTATCCCGGAGGAGGGTGGCTCATTTAGGAGGTGTTCTTTGCAAACAGACATTAGCTCAAATGGAACCCAAGGTGATGACAGCATGACAGGAATGGGCAGGGCTGCTCGGAAGGAAAGCTCCACTCCAAGGCACATGTGACCACCACAGCCTTCCTTACCACAGTATTCACATTCCAGTTCTCCATAGACCTTCCGGATCCTCTCGCATAGACTGATGTTCATCTGCTTCTTCTGGAGACTGTCTAGGACCTTCATGAACGCTGTGCTGCCAGGGTGGTGCTCAGAGGAGGGTTTGCGAGAGTCAGGCTGGCACATTCCAAGGTCCCCTCCATCAGCCACTGTAGGAAGGAGGTCTGAGGCCTCCACTGGGTTTGACCTGAGACACCTGTTGGAGTCAGATTCACTGGCTGGCAGAGTGACCGAATTCTGCCCTCCCCCTGGAGGGCCCTGGTCACTCTGGGTCTCTGGGTCTGATTCGGCACTTTTGGCCTTGGCCAGCAGCAGTGTGACTTCTTCACCCTGAGTCTGGGCTGAGCCTCCATGCTGTGCATCCAAGGTTGTCTCGGCAGCATGAGCCTCAGCAGAGGAGGTATCATTTTTCAATAAAAAATCATCGGAAACCACTCCAAGAGGGTTGAGGTCAGAGGAAACCACAGTGGTTCCTAATTTGCTGGGGGATAGGGAAGCATTTTCAGTCTTGGAGGTGGTCAAGGGCACAGCCGGGGCAGTTGCTTCTCCAGGGGCCTCCAGCTCCCTCGGCCCTGCCTCAGGCCGAGCTTCCCCAGGACAAGTCTCCTCCTTGTGCACATCTATTTCCGGGCACACAAATTCCTCAGCTGCCAGCTGCAGCTGGTCCCCCAGGGCTTCTTGCTGGATGTCCCCACCAGGCTCCAGGAGGCAGAAGCTCTGGTTGATGGAGCTGGTAAAGACCAAGGTCTCCTGGGCTGTCCCATGCACCTCTCGGATATGGGAGCGCAGCCTGATGGAGCTGACAAACTTCTTGAGACATATAGCACAGACATACACAAAGGGGTGCTTTCTGACATGCAGCTCCAAGGCCTGGTACTTAGTGGCCCCATGGCCACAGAGCTCACAAGCAAAGGGCCACTTGTCGCCATGGACCAGCATGTGGCGGTCCCGGTCTAGCTCGTTCTTGAACTTGCGCTCACAGATGTGGCAGTCATAGAGCAGCTGCCGCTTGCCCTCCCTCGTCATCAGGCGGAGCTCATCCAAGGCCTCCTTGACCTTCTTGTCCTGAGGGTCATGCATGTCCCGGATGTGCTTGATGAGGTTCTTGACGTCCGAGTACTTCTTCTTGCAGAAGCGGCAGTGCTGTTTGATCTTCTTGTGCACCCGCTCAATGTGCACCTTGAGGTGGCCCTTGCTGAGGCAGGTGAAGGAGCAGTAGTCGCAGGCGAACTTCTCGCCCGTGTGCTTTCGCAGGTGCACGTTGAGGTTGGCCTTGATGGCGCTGGCGTAGCTGCACTGGGAGCACTTGTATGGCTTCTCGTTCGTGTGGATCCTCAGGTGGGCCTGCAGTGAGTGCTTGAACTTAAAGACCTTGTTGCAGTACTCACATGTGAAGATCTTCAGCTGGGTGGGACCTAACCTAGAGAGGGATAATAAATAGCACCATTAACTTCTGGAGACCTTGAAACTTTCCAACGAACCACCTACCAAAGGCTGTGGAGTCAGCTACAGGGGAGTGGGCAAAGGTGGAACAATTATTTGTTCAACAAATAAGACTTAGGGGGAAGAACAGGATAGGCAAGGACAATGATGGAAGAGGGTGCTGGTCTTCGGGGAGCACCAACTCTAGCGGGAGAGAAAGAAGTCCTGCAGTGTCCCACAGCAGCACAATAGTCATCGAAAGGAGTGTGTGAAGAGCAGAGAAAGACACCTCTAACTGAACAAAGGCTGCTGGGGAACACCAGCTATGGTAACATCTCGGTCAAAGCTTCCTGAACAGAAAAGGTGGTGGCAAGAGAAGGGAACAGGAACAGGGGGTGTGGTTCACACAAGCATGGTCACCACGCATGCTCCGAAGCTTGCTTGTTCTGGGGCGCCTGAACAGAAGCAAATTCAGTCTCCGTGAGACTAGCCGTGGTGAGCTTATTCAACAAATTTGATTATCCACACCTGCCTATTCATTCCACTAACTGTCAGGGCGGCTCTTGTCCCCTTTGCAAGCTGGCAGGGTGCTCTGGAGAGAAAGACTGACCCTTGTCTTTACCCATGCCCCCACTTCTTCCCAGAAAGGGAGAACACAGATGGATGGTAATGAGTTTGGAACAAGACCTGCAGTTTGCGAGACAGCAGGGGCGTGCCTTCCCGTGGTGAGCAAGGGCTAGCTAGAGCGGCATCTTCAAGCCCAGCCGGTGATGATCCAGGTCTCAGGTGGGAGAGGCAGGTTTCTGGGCAAGCTCACAGCTGATATGAACCACACTCCTCTCTCCTGAAGCTCTTAGACACAGCCGAGGACTAACTACCAACTGTCTGCCTCCACTATCAGTGGGTTAGAGCTCAGATCGGGAAAACAGCACTACTATCTCCGTTAACTTCACACGCCATTGCATAAACAGTTTCCATTGATTAAACCAGGCAGCATGTCAGGGGCATGTGTCAGATTTTGCACATATGGTGGGGAATAAAAGCATGATTTGCTTCCTGGAGCCTCTTCCAATGTGGCGAGGCTGCACTGAACGAAATAGCAGCAGTTCTGACTAGTAATCAGGCGGTCCTTACAACCAACCATGTGCTGACTATTTAATCCCCACTCTCATCAACCCATTTCACACGTAAGAAAACTAAGCATCTGCTCAACATAAACAATTGCTTAGTGACTTGAGCATGCCCAGGAGCCCATGGCCTCTGGAGTATGCTCACCCTTCCTCAGCCTCTTTGCTGAAGGAAACCCCTGTTGCACAGCAGCCCCTCCCAGTTCGACTGTGCACTTGGAGAAGGCTCTTAGAGAGGGCTTCCTCTGCTACCAAAGTGGCAGGCCCTGAAGCACGTGACCACACAGTGGGAACAGGGACAGTGAGGGAGATCAAGGAAGCAGGAGAGAATGCACCTCTGGAAGGTATAGCTAGGCAAGCCAAGAAGGATTTATGGTGCGCTAATAACCATGCCATGGTATTAATTAGCACCATTAAACTGTGCCTACCACAGATACAAGGTCTGTGTTGATGAGACAGTTCATACAACTGTCTCTTTCAATTTAAAGCACTTACGTGGACGGCAGTCCATAAATACTAAAGAGTACAACTCACATGGTGAAATTAAAATATTCAGATGGGAAAGCTACTAGTATGCCTGCATGCTAAGCCCACGGCTTCTTTAAGGGAAGCCATTTGGATCTCTCCCAAATGACAAAGACATCCAGAAGGTGATACATTTTATAAAGAACACTGAAGAAAGAAGCCCTGGATTCATAACATTAATTAAATAAGCAAATCTCAGCATTTCCTCCTCTGTTGAGAGACCTAAATGGTCTTAAGAGAATCTTTTGTTCTTTGTTTTTATATTATTATCAGACAAGTATCTAGCAGAGCTCTGAGTGGCCTGCTTTTGGAGAAGATACTAAGTCTGGTGCTGATGCTGAGCAGGCTCCATTTGAATTTAAGCTTGAGCCACAAATGATGACTGTGAACTAGTGCACAGAACTGTGATGGGCATAGAATGCTTTCTGAAGCATCGTACTGCCAGTGTTTCCTATTTGGTGAGGGAGGTACTGCTGAAGAATATCCAGAGGTCAGACACCCGACTGCAGTGAGTCCACCTCTGGGAAGCTACCTGAAAGAAACAAGGGAACAGTCGGCTGAAGGAACGAACACCTTCAATGCCCATGTTTTCACGACAGTTAAGGGCAGCAATATCCTTGAAGGATCTCACACAGACAAACACTTGGTGTTCAGACCCCGCTTAAATGTTTGTCCATTGACTTCAACAGGGCCATATCCAGCTAACACACATCTAGAAAGCAATGACTACCCCAAGCCCTGGGAGGAGGGCCAGTTTTGGATGCCCATTAGAGTTCTAAGTACTCATTCCATGATGCAGCAATTTCACTTGGGGCAATTCGTCTTTCAGGAAGTCCTGAAGAAGCCTGGGAAGGTGGACATCTCAGAGTGTGAATCACTGCGCTGCTATCACAGAAAGAATGTGCTGATTTGACTTGGCTGTGGTAGCACATGCCTGTAATCCTCACACACAGGAGGCCGAGACAAGAAAACTGTGGGTTTAAGACTAGCCTAGACTACATAAGTGGTTTCTTTTTTTTAAAAGTTGTTTAAGTTACAATAGAAACATATAAGAAGACAGATTATTTTTAATATGTACTAAAATTGAAAGATTTTTCAAGGTGCGGTAAATTTTTTAAATGTAAAAAAAATAATAGTACATTTAGTATTTTGTATTTGAAAAAACCAAAACAATATATATATACACATATACATACATATATATGTATATATATATACACACACACATATATATATTAGTATACCATGAAAAAATAACAAGTATACGCAGTGAACTAGCCAGGGAAGTGAAATCTAGAAGGAACTATGGGTTGCAGTAGCTCTCACCACAAGGGTTGTTTCAGTTTTTACAGTGTGCCTATGTCCCTACTAAAAGAGAAACTATCGCAGGATGTGCAAACCAGGCCCTGTTTGCACCTCTTTTTATAGTTTAATGACACATTTGACTAGATAACATGTGTGCCCTGTGAAGACAAGTGAATGCTCAGTTCCTAGGGCACACTGGTCTGCCTTGGTCTCAGGAAGAACTAACTATACTAGGGCATAATGGAGGGGTGGACTCTTCAGCTAAGCCAATGAGTTAAGACCCTTTACAGATGTGGCCATGAAGAGAATCCAGACCAGCAAATGTACAGATCTTTCCTGCTCTTTGTGAATATTACTGCAGCCCACCTCTGAATTAAGCCCATGGAACAACTCACCTGCTTGACTTCATGGGCTGCTCATACGGGGTCTGCTGAATGGCATATTCTTGGTACCCTCTCCGTGGCACCAGGTCTGCTGCAGTGGTCTCGGGAGGGGCTGCTCCTGTTTCAGGGGGGCCAGCCTCCACTGGAATAATCTTGGTAGCACCTGAGATTGATACACAGTACACTACTTACTGAGAGGTGCTAGCAATAGCCCTGACCCTGTCCAGCAGAGTCAGCAGGTCCTGGGGGCACTTTACTGCAGGACTTCCATGCAACACACTGGTTTTCTTATTCAGATAACACATTTAATTGTGTGTGTGTGTGTGTGTGTGTGTGTGTGTGTGTGTGTGTGTGTGTGTGTAGATGCAGTTTTTCTAGTAGTGTACCCAAATGTCTTCTTGAAGTACAGTTTTACTTGATCTAATTTTGAAACAGGCAAAAATACACCTATCACTTGCAAGAATGTCTACAAAGCCACAGCTGTTAAACTTAAAGCAAGTAGAAAGCTACATCAAGGAAGCATAGGGTAGCAGAGCAGTCAACAAAACAGGAATGTGAGCACCCTAATATCTCTGATTCTCTTCCTATGAACAGAAATTGAAGGTACAAAGAGAAGAACCCCAGGGTCACCTTTGCTTTATTCGGTCATAAACTGACCCAAGACCATACAGAGCAGGTACACTTTGTGGGGGTGAATGTCTAGGTGCACACGTGTAGGTAGGTGAACATGTATGTTTTATTATGTGTGTGGACATGAGTGTATGTGTATGTGTGTGTGAATATGAGTTTATGTGTGCGAAAGTGATTGTGTGTGTGAGTGTGTATGTGTGTTTGTGCATGAGTCTGTGTGAGTAGGTCATAAGTGTGTAAGGGTGCACGTATATGTGTGAAGATGAGTAGGTGTGGGAGTTGGAGGGAGTGTGTGGGAGTGTATATTAGTGTGTGTGTGCATGTGAGTGTATGAGTGTGAATGCATGAATGTGAATGTATATATGTGTAAATTTGAATTGTCAGTGTGTAAGTGGAGTGGGGGTCAAGAGCAAGTGTGTAAAAGATTCCTCTTTAACCACTTGTGTTTCTAAAACCCCAAAGGAAATTGATCATGCTTTTACCCTCTTAGAATCTCAAAATACTACCACAATTTTTTTAAGAAAAATTGTGGAAATTTTCTCTAGCAACCACTGAGAACAGGAAACTGTCCTCTGGGATTTTCCATATCCACAATAATATTTCTGTAAAGTTGAGTAGGGCAGGTGGAGTGACTTTCCAGAAAGTTCAAGTAGCCTAATTTTATATGGCCTTTTCTCTCCTGAACACCTTACTTTGTAGTCAAGTACAAAGGAGAAAAGGTATTCAGAGTTTTGAATTTGAGCGGCTACTATCAGCCCTAAAATAGCTGCTTAAAGGGAGCAGCTCGAAAACCATGACACTGTCCTCACTGTATCTGAGCTAATACCCCCCAATGCATAAAAAATTTAAAACATTCTGGATAGCCTGGGATCTATTACAAACTGTTTGTGCTGGCTAGTTTTTGTGTCAATTTTTATGATAGTTTGAAATCTATCACAAACTGCATGTGCTGGCTAGTTTTTATGTCAACTTTTATGATAGTGTGAAATCTATCACAAACTGCTTGTGCTGCCTAGTTTTTACGTCAACTTGACACAAGCTGGAGTCATCTGGGAAGAGGGAACCTCAACTGAGAAAATGCTTCCATCACAGTGGTCTGTAAGCAGACTCTGGAGAACTTTCTTGACCAGGGATTGAAGTGGGACAGCCTGATTCATTGTGAACAGTGCCAACACCGGGCAGGTTTGTGTAAGAAAGCGGACTGAGCCGGACGTGGTAGCATATGCCTTTAATTCCAGCACTCAAGAGGCAGAGGCAGAGGCAGGTGAATCTCTGAGTTCCAGGATAGCCTGGTCCTCAGAGTGAGTTCCAGGACAACCAAGGCCTATAGAGAAGGACTGTCTCAAAAAAAAAAAAAAAAAAAAAAACCAAAAAGAAAGTAAGTAAGCAGACTGAGCAAGCCAGCCATGAGTGAGCAAGCCAGTAAGTAGCATTGCTCCATGGCTTCTGCTTCAGTTCCTGACTCCAGGTCTCTGCCTAGAGTTCCTGCCCTGACTTCCCTCTGAAATGGAGTGCCACCTGAGAGCAGCAAGCTGGAATAAATCCTTTCTTTCCCAAGTGCTTTTGTCCATGTAATTTTATCACAGAAATAGAAACTCCAAGGCACTCTTTTTTTGTCTAAAATAGTCTTTCCTACAAGTGACCTTTTAAAAAAGAAAATATAGCATTATCTACCAGCTATGTTCATGGAAAAGGAAAAATAAATAGAAACATCTAGTACTGAAAAATATTTAGTGACTACCATCCAAAGGTGAAGAAGCTAGGCAGTGTCTGCCTGGGCCTGCCGAGCAGCTGGTGCACTTGTGTGGACTGAGCAGGCAGCTCCCACCAAGGAGGCAGTCACTGCAAGACGACAGGGACACCACCAGCTGAGGGGCTGGGGAGAGGCACAGACGGAGTCGGCTGAGGAGACAGGCACGGCAGCCCCCGGGGATAATGAGGTCTGGGATCACTGCAGGTATAGGTGACTAATTGACGCTCCAGTAGGACACCTAACACACAGGCTCTGACCCAGCCCTCCTTCCTCAGGCTGCTCCAAGGGCAGCTGGGCTCCAGGCTCTCACTGTATCATTTCCAGCCTGTCATCAGTCACCTGGAATGGCTTCATGAGCAGTTAAGACCACGCTGATGATGGGTTTCTTGGCTCCAGAAAGCTGCCCTGCCTCCTTTCCTGAGATCTTCTGGACTTTCTCTGTTTTCTGAGCCCGTGGTCTTTTTGCAGCCTTCTCTCGATCATCTTCTTTGTACTTCTTTTCTAGCTCAAGGTCTGACTCGTTACCTAGGGAGCAAATATCAAGATGGATAAGCTATCCCTTCAGGCCAGCTGAGGAGGAAATACGACTATCACTGGAGGTGATGGCAAAGGAGATGCCTCCCCTGCATCCTCATGCCCACCTCCATTTCATCTCTCTTCCTGGCCTACAATGCCTGCCAGGACATTATGCTAGCTCCTGCACCATTGCTGGCTCTTACAAACTCAATGCCAAGCATGCTCACTGTATCCAGGACACACCCAGGTACCAGGAATGCACTGCTAGACAAAGCAGCATAGACCCTGGGCTCATATGCATGAAGCATCGTTGATATCAGCACTGCAGATAAAATGACCTGCGATTCACAGTCCAAGAAAGGCCTTCTCCTAATCAACTGACACTTGCCAGACACTTTCCCTGTGCCAGGCATGATGGACACAGGACAAGAACACACCAAGCCCTCAGGGGCCCTCTACTCCAGAACCCAGAGTCAACAGGAGTGATCAAGAGCAGTCTCTGCTCTGTGTCCCATGAAACAAGAGTAAAGAACAGGATGGTAGAAGCTACCCGAGAGGTCAGAAAGGCTTTATGGAGACGTTAGCTATGGCTGAGTGAAAAGGCGAGGGTTAATGAACCATTGGATGGGAAAGATAGAGAACCAGTCATGAGGAAGGAGCTATATGGTCTAGGCATGTGTGTGATTAAAAATGGAAGTGCTCCTGTCTAACAAAGGATGACAAAGACAGGGGATAAATACTTGGCTGAGCATCACAGTGTCCACAACTTCGTGAGAAAGCAGAGGGTGACCAAAATGGGTTTCAAGAGTAAGAGGTAAGTCCCAGAAGTCCATGAACACTATAGAAACTTCCACTCTCCTTAGGTGATGACATGGAGCCCAGTCAACCTGCATTAAATGAAATGTAGACTGTGCCTGGCCTGGCCCTGCTGGGGGCTCCTGGGAGGTGGGGTGACTGTCACATCTTCTGATGGCTCAAAGGAAGATGGTAGGTCCAGGTTTTTACAGGCGCTGTTGTTTTTCAAGGCTGGTTGCTATCTGGCCGTTCTTAGGACAATGGGGAAGCCAAGAAAAACACTTAGGGCATCATAGGACCTGTTGTCTCCTATGTGCATCTCTGGAAGGCAATGGTGAGCCACTGAAGCCGTCTAATCCAAGGAAGAGCTGGGTTTGCATAACGCTTTACATGTATGCCATGCTGTGGAGAATGAAATAAATGGGCTCCCATACCACTCAAATGCTTGCAGAACCAATGCATCAGTCACAGACATACAACAGCAGCCATGACAGGTCGAACCTTGGCATTAGCCTAAGGAGAAAAAACAGCCTCCACATATCAGTGAAGAACAAAGGAGTTAATAACTAGACAGCAGCCCCCAGTGAGATGAAACTCAGGGAAGAAGGGTAGAGAGAGCTTTATTAGAATCACCATGTCTGAAATGCCCCACCTGAGGACAGGGTCTTCACAATGTCTGGAGAGAACACTGGGAGAGATTCCACACATGAGTGTAGGGGATAGGCAAGGGATATGGCGCAGGCAAACAGACCGGAAGGTGTGAGGGTGGGTTTTGGAAAGTGTGGGAATATAAGGGGTTATCAGGGAGGTGAGATTGAAACCCAGAAACAATGAGGCAGAGGCAGTGGCGGGGAGGGGAACACACAGGGAGACGGGCAGAAACCAACCTTCAGTGCTTCCTACATCTAAGTCTGCTCCAGCCAGGCCAACACAAGGCACCAGTAAATGTACAACAGATAATCTAGAGAGTGAATTCTTAGCAAGCCATGCTGGCTGGGGTAAAGTCAAGGAAACAGAATGATCAAACCAAGCATTCACATTGTGTCCCATAAACCAACACAGTGCATGCCTGGTTCCTGGATCGTCTCCAGACCTGAAGAAAACAGCCTTGGGTTAGTCTTTAATAGATTAGTACTGGTATTAAATATATTAACATGAAACAAAAGAGAAGGATGATAGGAGGCTTCATGAATCAGAATTGCATGCTGCCCTCCAAGGTCCTAAGGCAAGGACCAACACCACACTAATAATGTCAGACCCTGAAAGCAACAGGATGGGAACAGCACCTGGTCTCCAAGGTTGCTGGAAGAGCCTACATAGTATAAAGTCTACTATGCATGACACCTCACAGCAATTTTTGACTTATTTTATTTTTTAGTAGCCATAACAAAAAACATTTCCAAAGGCCTAAAACTGTCTGAGTCACAGAAGTCTTTTCGTCACCTAGATATTGGTGATATGCGCACATAAATACTACAGCAAGATATTTCAGATGCTATAAAAAAAAAGGTAGAACAACATTTAATGGATTTTTTTTTGCTTGTAAAATGATGTCTCGCTCTATAACAGAGTTCACCATGGGATACAATTCAATATGTGGGTGATATGCCAAGAATAAATATGTTGACATTAACAAAAAAGAGGACCTGAGAATCTGAATTCACCATAAGCTTATCCTGGTTAACAATATAAATCCACAAGAAAACAAGGGCACACACTGTCAGCCAGGGTAAGAGATGAGGAGGTCCCACGTGCTGCAGACGATGAATGACAGCAAGCTCTGCAGTAGACACCAAGGGTATACACTGCAGAAATGAGCACCAGCAGTGGGTGGCTGGCAGTGGGTAAAGGTTGGGAAGCCACATCAGATTAAGAAAGAAGGGAGGGACCTGAGTTGACCTAGGTAGAGAAGACACAAAGAAGCCACCTCTCATCTTGACTACTGCAGCCACTCCGACTCCCTTCTTCTGGCTGCTCTGTGGTCGAGCTGTCAGGATGCATATGGGTTGGTTGTTCTCCCCATCACTGTGGCAAAATCCCTGACAGGCAGCTAAAGTGGGGAGATGTTTGCTTTGGCTAATAGTTCAGAGGGAACACTCTACTATAACAGGGAAAGTATGGTGACAGGACTAGCTCCTGTACATGGCAATGGGCATGTGAGGTGGCTGGTCATATGACTGTGGCAGTCAGGAAGCAGAGGTCTGACCAAGAGCCATAACCATCAAAGATCACCGCCAACCAGTGTCTCACCTCTGCCAGCCATGCCTCCACTCCAAGGGTCCCAGAGCTACATACTTTCAACTCCACCCTCTGTAGGAATACACCTTCCTTTGTAGGAACTGAGAATACACTGAAGTCAGAGCTGGTATGAAGAAGATAATGGCCATTATGCTCTGAGAATGATGTTCTATAACACTTGTCCTGGTAGGTCCCACTAGCCCAGCTCCAACTCCTGCTTCCTAGGATCACATCCAGATCAACTGCCAGCAGCAACAGCTACTTCCAAAGGAATACAAGCTAAGAGACCTCCCCCAGAACCATCTCAAATGAGCACCCCTGAGTATCCTCTGTCTCCAGTTCTGTATAGCCTCAGAGGAAGCAGATCAATAGTCTGGAGTAGTCATACTCTACCTAAGAGCCTCCAGAACCCTAACACTAGGCTTTCCCATAGTTTGGGACATGATGGGCCAGGCAGTACCCTGAGCATCATGGGACATGGTTCTTGGAGATGATCACTATATATCCCTTGAGGACACTAGAATTAATAAGGCTCTGCAGAGAACTATCAGCACACTTGCTCCAAGTATGCCTGGGGCACTTAGTGAGTAGTGAAGAATTCAGGGTAAGACAAAAGCAAGACATGGGGGCTGGCATGGAGAGCTGGATGTTACCAGACACACAGCCCCAAGTGTACAGGAATGCCCAGCTCTCTACCACATGCCCTGTGTATCTGTTCCTTGCAGCCTTGCACCTAGCTCAGCTGCATGGATACCTACTTACACTCCTCCGACTTAGTATTTCTTTGTGGAAAGCCAACAGGGAGAAGAAAGAGAAGACATATTGATAGCTGGTTTTGTTTTTTGTTTGTTTGTTTTGGTAGCTTTCTGCTTTCTCCGTTTGGACAACATCATCCTTTTTCCATTTGTCATGGCTGGAATATAAGATGAGTTTGAACAATTGGTCTCCAGCAAGTGGCGCTATTTGGGGAGGCTGTGAAAGCTTCAGGACAGTGGCCTAACTAGCAGAAGTAGATCTCTGTGGGCAGGTCCTGAAGGTGACATGGGCTTTTGACTCCAGCTTGAGCTCTCTGCTTCTGCCCTGAAAGTGACATGGGCTTCTGACTCCAGCCTGAGCTCTCTGTTTCCTGATTCTCACATGCCCAGCACTACTGAGAGAACACCATGCCTTTCCTGCCATGATGTACTATATGCTCTGAAATACTGAGCCAAAACAAACCTCTCTTCCTTAGCTGCTTCTATCAGCAGTGAGAAAAATCACCAGTACATCTCCTGACCTGGCTGTTCATGAATTTCCCAATCCTCACTTCACCCATCTCTGTGCTTCTCAGAGTTGCCTCTTCCCACTGAAACACCTCCTGGACCTGAGCTGGCAGTCATGCTGCAGGTGCTTCTTCAAGAACCCAGCATTCCCCACCTCCAGCTTATAGGCTTCATGGCCTTTTATTGGAGTGTTTTCAATGGTCTCCTACTTCCTCTGAGTTATTGACTTCAGAAACTTTTCTACGTTCTCCCCCAGCCAATGCCTATATTTGCTGTAGCTTCCTTTTCTTTGGAAAATTCAGTAGTTCTGTAACGGATCTGTTTCTTGGGTTCTCCCTCTTGCACATAGTTGTTGGATTTAGTCCTACTGTGTGCGCACTGCCAGTGGGCTGGCACGCATAGCCAATGGTCTGCTAATAGTGGACGAAAGTCAGCAGGCAAATACCACACTGTGTCTCCAGTCAGGATCACCCATGGCAGGGGGGAGACTGACAATGGATGTGAGCACAAGAAATAAGTTAGTCACCCACAGAAGGTCATCATCCACCAGAGGCAGTTAAGTGCAGGCCTTGGCAGGCAGTGGAGGTGAGCATTTCTAAGTGTGGGCTGTTCTCTGGGTTCTGAGGTAGCCAACACATCTCACACCAACATCCCTACTAGTAGTAGGTCAGGAAAGCTGCTGAGACTAAGCCTGTCATTGGTTTAACTCTTCCT